TTCATTTGGACTACGATGGCAATTAGCGCTGGAGAAGTCTCTCACGCAGTTTTAAATTTGCCTATTTTGCGTTCTCTAATTAGGAACTACCACATACAAAGATTAAGCAATGTGTTAATTTCGAATCATCAGTTGATGGTACAGCTGAAATAATTTTTCTCTTTTTCTCTTAAAGATATCCTCATTTTCTTTATCAATAATAAAACTTGGAAAAAAAGTAAGGACTTAAATTTCCTTTATCCCGTCATCTTCGCTCAAATTTCACTCTGTTAACGGACCAAGGTGATTTGACGATGGAACGGGAAATTACAAAAGATTTCCTTTGGGATATTTCATAAACCAGCATGCCTGTGGATTAATTAGATGAAAATGAATTATTGAATTGTATCATTTGCCCATAAAGTGTTCACAATCAGTTCGTAAAGTCGCCAAGCGGTACACGCTACAAATTGAACAACAAGGGAGGTTGAAAACTGTCGAACTTCCTGCCTGCACAAGTCAAGAATCCTATTCTTAGGCAAGAGAAACTCAGGCTAGGCCTGTCTTGTAAGATGGCTTCGCAAATGCAGGATTACAGGAACACCACCACAAATCAATTTTTGCCTGTCTATTGGGCTGGCTGCCAGCAATGCACTTGTGAAATTTGCACCTCCCGTGACCCGAACCGGAACAGCGAATCCTCACTGGTCGAGCCTAGCGCTGAGGCTCGAAGACCTTCATTTACAATCGAATCTCTTCTTAGCCGAAAGGACGAGAGAAAGCCCGAAGTGAAGCCGAGCATGGAGACATTTACAACTCTGAACATGAATTTGGTCTCAAGTAACTCTGCCACACAGTTTCAGAGTGAAAGATCTGAGTTTCCTTTTGGATCTAACTATCTCGAAAGTTTACGAAGGCAGAGTTTTAGCATGGAGCAGTTTTCTTTGTTAGCGAGAGGAAACGTTCCAACGAGTGGTAGGTTGATCGAGTCTGATCTTTTCACAGTAAATGTTGAGATGGTAAAAAAAAAAAAAAAATTCAGATCGGCATAATCTGGCTATTTCGATTTTTTGGGATCTGAGCAACTTACGGTTCGTGTTGGACGCCCTTTCAATATTTTGCAAATTGCAAACTGCCAGTCCGATAAAAAATAGACCGAGTTCTTGATTTGTGATGTGTTTTGGATTGTTTAGACGCGAAATATTCGTAATACTCATCGATTTTAAGAAGAAGAAGATTTTCCTTGTACTTAAAATGTGGAAGTCTACTTATAAAAGCAGACGATGTGTCGCCCATGGTTTAGAAAACGTCTCCAAGGCCGAGTGGACGAGAGTTCTTGAAGAAATTAAAAAAAGCCTTAGTTCAAATCTATCAGGAAGTACATTGCTATTTATTTCTCTTGTTTTCTTCTATAAAAATAAAAATAGCAAAACTTTTGTCATAATTCTTTATAAAATCTTAATCTTTCCTTTAAAGATCTACTTTTACGACTTTGTCTGTTTTTTCTAGTTTTTCATTGAGATGGTAAATTTGATTTCAAAACAAGCGAAGTTTTAAATATTACGAAAAATCTTCTTGTCAAGTCAGTTCCAAAGCAGTTTGCATGTCTTCATTTTTAATCGTAAAATGTGAATTTGAGAGTAATTTTTACAATTTCATGCGATGATTTTACAATTTATTACAATTTACTATTTTTGCTCCTTTGAAGCTAATACTCTGCTAATTAGAAGTTTCATAATCGATGAGATACTTCCTTTCCTGCATGTTTAAATGCTCATTTCCGATGATTTAATTTCATTTGATTCTTTTCTTAATTGCCACAGGAAATTTCATCTCACAGGGCGATGAAATCGACTGGACCGGTGAGAAACCAAAACGCATGCGCACGATTTTTACCGTGGAGCAGCTGGAGCGCCTGGAGAGAGAGTTTACACGCCAGCAATACATGGTGGGAGGGCAACGGTTTTATCTGTCAAAAGAGCTTGGACTGACAGAAACTCAGGTCAAAGTTTGGTTTCAAAATCGTCGAATAAAATGGAGGAAACAGCTCATAGAGCAAGAAAGGAATAAGGTCAGGCAACAGAAGGAGCCAGAC